GCAGATCATTGGGTTACGTCTGCGCGGCGGCTTCGCATGCGTCGGGCATCAATCACGAGAGGTAGGGGGAGGGCCGAGGCATTGCAGCGGTGTGTGCTCGATCGAGTGCATCTCTACAACAAGCCTCATTATTCGTGCTGCTGCTTCACATTGACACTATTCTCAAATCGATTTGCCTCATTCCTTGGGTCAAGATGGCCGACGCCAAGATCAAGCATGCAGCCTTCATCTGTCCTCCCACCTGACCAGTCCTCCATCACCGGTCGATCCTGAGCAGAGCAGTTTTGAATGTTCGTGGCTGAACGGCCGGGCTATACTCTGACTGCCGCTGCTATACGTTGCCTGGCAGAACACGCCTGCTGGTCTGACGTCGCGCCTAGCGTCGATGCTGACGAAGGGCGACATCTTGTATGCACCGGTGCGGAGCGACCCCTTGCTTGATGGGGAATTTGGTGCTGGTGGGGCCGCACGCGCATTGCACACGCGCATTGCACACGCACACGCACACGCACACACACACCAGCATGAAAGTCCATGAGAGTCACGAGTGATCGGCGGGGCGATACGATCGACAACAAGCACGACACTCATCAGACTCGCACTCGTGACTCTCGAACAAATCTTGATGCATCTTACACCCGACGCTGGCTGCTGCTGCTGCACCCCCCCCTAACTCAGCTTTCAAAAGGCTTTGATCGCTTCATGTCCGAAGCGAGAACGTAATAATAATGTATCGAGCGACCTCCTTGCGCTTGTCGATCAGCTTCACGTGGCTGGATTGATAAACGCAAAGGGCCCCGCTGTGACTGAAAGGCACGCATGCAATTTCATGCTTGATGCGGTTTCGTTCAAGCATGCGCAAGTGCGGTCGGCTATCTCTTGGCTTTCAGATGAGGAAGCGTCCGACCGACGAGGTTTGTGAGTTCGCCAAGGCGAATCGAAGGATGGGCCCGGCCGAGTTCAAAAAATTCATCATTCTTCTCGAGATTCTTTTCCCCGTCAGATGGGAGCGAAGCTGTGCCCACGACCATCCAAAACACTTTCCACCTTCTGACGCTGACCGAGCACCCGGATGCGGATGCGGCCTTCCGCGCCAAAACTCTCGATGGACCGACCTCGGCTGTTCTACACATCTCATGCACTGGTCAGGGACCCTCGAATCTGTCAGAACGTGCGATAACGCGATAACGATGCCGCATCCGATGGGCCAGCCAAACTTTTGCGCGCACAATGTGATTGAGAACGCTTATAAAGCGTGGGAAACATGCGAATCTTCCACGATCGTCGAAGCAACCCGATGACGAAAAAGTTGAGATATTGGCTGGTGGATCACGGCAACAGCTTTCATGTCCCGCGCGTCCTCAATCAGAGCAGGGGCCAGGGGTCCAAAGCAGGCCAGTCATCATAGGGGCAAGGGACAACACTCCAAGCAAGTTCAAAGTAGAAGAAAAAGCTGCACAAAGTTTCATTCAATTGCAAATCAAATTAGGGAAAGAGCGCTTGGCTTCAAAACATCACGTGAGCTACTCAAGCAGAGGCAGTCACAGCTGGTGCTGCGCCTTTGCTTGCCGTGAATGCAGGGGCACCAGTGCGGACGGAACGAGGGCCAGGTGCATCGGCGATGCGCTTCGAGAGACCCAAGAGATCGTCAGACCAGAGCGGCAGACTAGCAACGTCG